GGATTTATCTTGGTGTATTAATATTTGCATTGGTTGTCCAGCCCAATTATGTCCCTGATGGATTTAACACTAAAGGTCTCCAAAAAATCGTGGTCCAATGGAGCACCGTATCACGGAATGAAAGTGGGGGGAGGTGAGAACAATCTGGTTCCTGTTCTTGCTCTTCTAAATTGTACCAAGCAAAATGCAGCCCGTCTTTTTGAGGCTACTGGCCAAATTGCCAAACTCAAAAACATTTCCCCCTGTAACTGTTTAGTACAGAACTTCAAACCTGTAGTTAAATGTTTGGCTAAAGCAACCTGTTGGCACCAAAACTGGGTTAAATTCTTAGGCCTTTCAGTTGCAGAGCAGTACTAATAAAGGCTAATTTTGAAGGTAAATAGAGGTGAGACACTTTTTTTTTTGCCTGGAGAAATAGTCCTAACCCACTCTCTTGTAAACTCACGGTGCAGTGATAATATTTAAAGGTTCACTTGTTCTGTAGGTTCAGTTTTCTTGTTATGAAGTGTCTTGAGGTCTTTCCAGCCTGAGTGATTCTATAAAAACTGCTTTTCTGTTGATGTAGTTTTCATTTAGAACTACCTTAGTTTCTCTAATAACACACTTAACTAGCAGATTGGATGCTTCTGAAGCTTTTACAAATGCAGATCCTTATAGCAGCGCTCTCCAGTGATGGGTAGTACAATGCAGAGGAGCCACATCTTTAAACAGTGGTATTCTCAGCCCCAGTCCTTGGTCACTTGGTCCATTTGTCTGTAATTACTCTTGATTTAACTTAGTAGAACCCATCAGCCTGACTAATACGGCTTGATCTGGGCTTTTTTGTCTGTTAGCTTCTTTAATTCTGTAGAAATGCATGGAAATATCACCTACTAGAAAGTTTGACCTGAAATGCCTTTTGTATGGGGTGGGGGGGGAGGGGGTAGAGAACATTCCTGTGCCAGCTACAGAGATCTTAAAAGCTTCCATGTTTCACCAGTGGTTGATTAAAGCTGTTTCCTTTGTGTAATGTGTACATGGGAGTTGCATAGAGTTTTCCTGTATGTCTGTAGAGAAAAAGAAAAAAAAATAACAAAACCAAAACCCTTAGCCTCCAGTGCGTTACTGTTACTGTTCTGTGCGTGCCAAATTAAAAGAGCCTAAATAAATGGGCTTTCCCCTCCCCTGGGTCAGCGATTTGATTCCTCTCCAGCCTCTGGATTAGCCTGGTGCTTGGGGAGCTGGTACCCCTTCTGCAGGTATTGATTGCCCTGTGCTGCTCATGGTGGGAGAAGGGATGGGGGGAAGCAGGTTCATCAGCACAGGGTGCAGCTTGCTGCAGGCATTAGCTCCCTGACCTGGTCTCTGCATTTTAGGTGCCAGACCCAAGTTTCCATGGGTTGGGGAGGTTTCTGGCAAACATTTGCTGTCTGAGCAGGAGAAGCCAAGCACGTGTCAGTGATTTTGTGCTGCTTTCCCTGTAAAAACAGGGCGCTTTCTCTGGCCAAGCAGTTGCAGGCTGCCCCTTCCTCTGGCCAGATGTGCAGGGACAGAACAGCTGTGCTGCCCCACAGCTCCTTGGCAGAGCACTGAGCTGCTGCTTGTCATTAAAGGCAGGCATTGCCTGCTTGCTCCAGCTTGGCACCCAGGTGGGTCACAGAGTTGGGAGCACAAGGTTTTCCAATGCAAAGAGACCCACCAGAGCGATACTTTGTGAGAGGAGCAAACCAGCCTGGCTTCTGCGGGTGCTTTAGCCTGTGCTTGAGTCAGCTCTGAGCTCTTCCAAGTGGGTGATCATCATAAGGAGCTCCTCCTTGCCTGGGTGTCTGCAGTACAGGTCTCTGTCCAAAGTCCAGGTTGAGATAAGGTGTGACACAGCAGGAGTGGTGCTGCCTGACAAACAAAGGGAACTCCCAGCCAAGATCCAACTGATAACCAGTGCTGCCAGAGCCAGACTGCAGGCATCTTCCAAGAGATACCCAGCCCAGGTGACGCCATGGTGGACTTCTGCCTGGGATTTCCTTCCTTGGTTAGAAGATGGAGCCAGAGACCTTGCAAAGGGAGAAGGATGTCAGACCTGGAAGGTAGGAGGGAGCTTCCCACAGCATGAAAGCTCTTGGATCAGGGTGCAAAGTGCCTTAGTCCTGGGACTTGGAGGGATGAGAAGTCTGAGGAGGCACTTGAGGCCTTGGCTAGGTGCGGTCCCACAGGTTAAGCTGATCTTTGAGGTTCTGGCTGCTTTTAGGACCCTCACAAGTCCTGAGGTATTATACTGGCCTCTGAAACAGTGTTCCTGCACTCCAGGGCTGGCAAAGAACTCAACCTTCAGAGCTATAATGCTTCATACCTTGTCCATGTCATGGAGTTAGAGAGCCAAACTTCACCACCTCCCAGGGCTGTTTGTCCTTCTGTGATTGGAGGGGATAAAAAGCACAGGGAGATGTTTTCTCTTGTGATTCAAAGGTTTCTGAGCCTTTCAGTTAAAGTTTCTCTGGTTGGACTTAATGATGTTAAAGGTCTTTTCCAACAAAGTTGGTTGTATGAAATCACCCAGAAGTTCTCAAAAGGCAAGGCAAGCAGGGAGAGACAACATGAAGAATGCTTCCTACATCTTATCTGATTGCTGGGGAGAGAAGGTAATTTCTAACAATACATGAAGAAGAAACAGGACATGGCTCAGAGCTACGCAAGCTCAGCAGGACCACAGCCCAGCTTGGCTGCAGCAGGAGTAGAGCTGCTAGAAACCTTTTCAATTCCATGTGCAGGCAAGAGTTTCCCCAGTTTCCAAGAGTTTCACACTGGGGAGAAGATGGGGATGGGAGATGAGACTGGTAATTCAGGCTGAGCATGAGCAGATGGTGCAAATGTGATTTAGCTGCTCCAGCAAAAGTGAACTTGAGGATCTGAGCTGTGGCTTAGGCTGCAAGGTAACTCCAACTGTGGCTGAAACCAGGAGAAGGACCCAGTGTTCCCATCCAAAATCACTCCACCTGGGTGCTTGGTCGATCTTTATCACTGAATTACCTTCCCTGCAGCACCCAGATCATACCTGCCCTGAGTCAGAGGCTGACAAGTTACAAGGTGACAGTGTGGCTTGCCTGGAGGAACGATAGCCCTCGCCGTCGGTGAGTAGCCAGAGCTTATGGTGGTACATTGCAAAGTCCCACCAGCTCCTGGCCAGTCAGCCCTGCATGAGGGCAAGGCTTGGGTTTTCCTATCCCCTTGGGATGTCTTTCCCTTTCTCCCAAGCTGCTGAGAGAAGAAAACAAATCCCAGTGATGTCTTTCCCCAAAGAGAAGTGGGGTTTTTTTTCTGCCCCTCTCTTCATAAAGCAGCCAACTCAGTGACGTGTCCTGGAAGGGCACCATGTCACCCCATGCAGAGGACACTGAATCTCTTCTTGTGTGGTTTTTGGAGCCCTATATGGCACACATGGGACACCAGCTACCTTCCTCGTGTTCGTTGGGTTGGGGCTTTGTCACTGCTGGTGGGTTAGTGCCTGGGTAACTGCTGTGTTTTGTGCAAGAGCTCACGATAGAGGAAATCACTGTTGCAAAAGCAAGAAAACTGAAAAACCAAAGTATTGCATCACTTGGTGGCTCCTGATTCTCTGGGGCCCTTCCTACCAATGCCTGTGTGGGGTGATGGTTACCTCAGTAGGCTCAACAACTCCCTCCAGCCTCTGGGGTTGTCGGGGGTGGTTTCCTGGCAAGCCTGGTGAATTCCAGGTGATCTCCAAAGCCACAAGGTGCCAGGCCAGGCACGCTGCTCTGCAGTGAGAGGAGAGGGTGGTGGCGTTGAGGGTTGAGGTCACCGGCGGTCCTTGCGCCATGAGGTCCTCCCCATGCACCACGAAGTCCAGAAGGAGAAACCAAAGGGTAATAATGGCTGTTGCTGAGCGAGTCTGCCCCTCCACCGTGGGCAGATGGACCGGCCAGAGCCCTCGTGGGATCTGTGCATACGTGCACATCCACAAAGTGCTGCCTGCGTGGAGTCCCTGGTGTCTAATACAGAGGTTGAGCACACACTGCCTCCCACAGGAGCAAAATGGAGATGGGTCTGTTCCTCATCCCCCTTCCTGGTCTTGGTCCTTCACACATCCCTGAGGGACCCAGCACTTCCGGGGCCTTTTTCCTCCCGCCCCTCTCAAATCCTGCTGATGTCAGCACCCAGCTCAGCAGCTCTATTGTGGGAGACAGGCACTGAGCCATCACGTGGGGTCTGCCTCTTCCTAAGAGCACAGCTTGGGGAGGGGGAAATGGAAAAAAAGATAAAAAAAGATGGAAATATGAAAAAGGGAGAGAAAAAGGAGAAAGAAAAAGAAATCGGGGGGAAGAGAGAAAGAGAAAAAATAGCTAGAAAAAAAGGGGAGGGAAGGGAAAAAAGAGAACAGAAAAAAGGGAGAAGAAAGAAAGGAGAAAGGGAAAAGAAAGGAAAGATAAAGGGGAAAAGAGAAAGGGAGAAAGAAAAAAGAAAAGGGGGAGTAGGATGGGGAAAGGGCAAAAATGGAGAAAAGATAAAAAATAGGAAAAAAAAGGGGGGGGGGGAGGAAAAAAGAGAAAAAAGGAAAAACGGGAAAAAAAGAAGAGTGAAAGTAAAGAAAAAAAAGACATTTTAAAAGGGGGTTGGGGAGGGGGAAAGAGGGGAAAACGTCTGCAGAAGGAAAGCCACAAGAAGAAGGGGAGAGCGAAGCAGAGCCCAGCAGCACCCGGGGGCCACCACCGCCCAGCAGCTCCCAGGGACAAACTCACCTGAGCTCACAGCAAGGGAGCAGCAGCAGGCAGGGGCTCGGGGAGTGCCAGCACTGAAGGAAGCGGTGCTCTGCTTTGGTTACGTTGGGGAAACACCCCATCGGGAATGGCTTTTGCAGCACAGCAAGCAAAGAGGTGGGGGGTAAAGGATCTGCTGCTGACCAAAGCTGGGGGCTTCTTCAGTGCTGCCGGGCCTGAAAACTCACACTGAGAAGAAGCAATCAACAGAAAACCAAAGCAGTGGCGAGCTCTCCGCTACCTCACTTTTAATTGCATCGACACCTAGCAATACAAAGAAGCAGATGTGCCGAGAGCCACCCGTCATGGAGCGGCTCCCTTCCTTCCGCGGCGGGTCTGACTGTCACGCTTCTTCCACTCCCAAAAGAACCAGGAGAAATAAACCAAGTAAGAACAATAATTGCACTGGTTGCTGTACAAACACAGTCTTCCCTTTTCACACATTTGTGGGCTCTGTCGCGACAGGAGGGGGAAGCCCCGGCGCCCATCCCGACATGGCCGGAGCAGGTCCCCAGGGGCCAAAGGCTTGTATAAAACAGTATGAAGATTTTCTTACAAACAGGGTTTTTTTGGGGGGGGTGTATGGTTTTTTTAAGTTTCAAAACTAGGTTTTGGGTCACTAATGGCTTGTATCTTTTATCTACAGTAAATTCAGCATATATTTTTATCTTTAGGAATGTGTAAGGCATTTTGGTAAGTCGAACAGTTAAGGTCTAGGTCGCACGCTCATCAAACTGAAGTCCCTTCCTTTGAGCTGTCCTCTTGCCCCTGGAGAAGGAAAACAGAGGTGAGTGACTGGGCTGGGTCTCAACCTTCTCCTCATGGCAGCTCAAGCATCAAAGCATTCCACACATGGCCCAGCTGCCTTCTAGGCAGGGAGAACCATGACCACTACCATGTGTGGTCCCCCAAAGTGGCACCTTGCCTCTGGTTTGAAACCATTGCCCGACACAGGCTTCTTCCCCCTCCCCGCCTCCACCAGCATCAAGGTGGGGATGGCCGTGGCCATCACAAGTACCGTTTCCTGAAGCTGTTCTTTCAACTTCTTCACCGTTTCTCTCTCTTTGGCCAGTTGGTCCTGGGTGACCTTCAGTAGCTCCTGTAGTTTAGTCGCTGCCTGGCCCAGGTCCTTTGTTAGTCTTTTCTCTTTCTCAAGTCTTTCCTACACGGGAGCCAAAAGAAGGCATCTGCCTCAGCCTCCCTTTGCCATCTGGTGATCTTCCCCCCTCCAAAACACCTCGGGTCATCTCAGGTCTGCCTTGCCCACAAGAGCTCCAAGCTCCGTCCTTGCCAAAGGGGCCAGGCATCACCCCAAACAGCTACATAGAGGTCACTCTGAAGACGCCATGGGCTGAGATAACCTCATGCTAGCAGAGCAGTCTCCCAAAACATGACAAGCACCTCCCTTATCTTGGCCAATGTGATGAAGTGGCTGTGACTTGCACCCTGCTGCCCTCCACAGACTGGTTTGGGTTGGAAGGGACCTTAAAGCTCACCCAGTTCCAACCCTCTGCCATGGGCAAGGACACCTTCCACTAGACCAGGTTGCTCCAAGCCCTGTCCAACCTGGCCTTGAGCACTGCCAGGGATGGGGCATGTTGGGAGTTCACAGCCAGCCCCAGGTAGAATGCTGCTTGCAGGGGAGCCATCTACCTTGCCCCACCATCCCCAAGAATGGGAAATGATACCCTTAGTCCTACTTAGACATGGCTGAACACCAAGCGCAGGAGAGCAGGGCAGCCAAATCACCTTGAGATGCTGGGCCTCCTCTGTGTCTGCAGCTCCTGCGTTTTCAGCCAGTCTCAGCTTTTCCAGCTCTGCTTGCAAACTGCATGCTCTGCTCTGGGCCTGGAAGGGGGACACACAGCACACAGTGGCAGTTACCTCCTGCATCCTGCCCTGTACATCCCCTGCACCCCTGCCTCTGGTGAAGGGTTAAGTCATACAGCCAGGGTTGGATGCGAAACACAATACATTGCTTTTGCTGACCCAGCTTGTACCAGGAGGATGGCACTTCTCACAGCATACAGCATGAAACCCAGCTAAAGCCCTACAGGGACAGAGCTGGCAAACCCCTCCTCAGGGGGACTGGGAGAGGGGCAATTCGAGGGGCCAGCACTGCCAGCTTTAGCACAGCTCCTGCAGGAAGTTCTTCAGATGTGTGAAGGAATGTGGCAATGCCCGATGTGGGGACAGGGATGAGGAAAACTTGCAAATTAATCCTTCAGATTAATTCCTGGGCTTCATTAGCAGCCAAGAACCCACCGAGGCTTTGCAAACCCTTGTATCCTCCTCGCCTGCACCTACCTCCTCCAGCTCCTGCGCCAGCTTCTGCCGCAGCACTTGCTCCTTCTCCACCAGTGTTTCGTTCTGCTCCAGCTGGGTTTTCAACTGTGTTAGGAACAGGGGAAAAAAGAACAGAAATAAGACTTAAAATGACCCAAGAGATGAGCCATGGGGACATCATCAAGAAGTGACACTGCCAAGAAAGCTGGGCTAGGCAGGAGAAATGAAAACAGCTTTCCCAGGGCACCAAAGGGCAATAGGTACAGGACCCCCCTCTCTGCACAAAACCTGAAGAGGCTGATGGCGAGCCCCAGGCTTGGCTTTGCATTGCAAGTTCTGCCTGCTCCTTGGGCAGCACCAGGTGGGACCTGGGACAAGAGGCACCCCATAGTGGGGGATCCCTGGCAGTGTCCAAGGCCAGTCTGAATGGGGCTTGGAGCAACCTGGTCTAGTGGGAGCCGTCCCTGCCCATGGCAGGGGGTTGGAACTCCATGAGCTTTAAGGTCCCTTCCAACCCAAACCCTTCTGTGATCCTACGATTCTATGACCCTGGCAAGTCCCCGTGCCCAGGAGAAGGCTCCACACTTAATAGGATTAAATGGGAGAGATAGAGCCCAGCTCGTGGCAGCTCCACCACCGAGAGGCGATAGCTGAAAGGGAATAGCTGCTGCTGCTGCCCTCAGCCTGGCTCCAGTGAGATTTATGGAGTCTCTGTAATCCTAATCCCCACTGGCTGAGAAGAGATCCTGGTGCAGCCCTGTTGGGGTGCCTGCTTCCTCCAAAGAGACCCAAACCCAGAAGGGCATCATGACATGGCAACGTCAGCCCAACATCGCAGCATCCACTGCCTGCCTCCTGCTAAATCCTGCCAGCCTTATGCTGTGACAGAGGGCTTCCAATGGGAACAGCACGGTGACAGCCAGCTGGTGACGTGTTCCCAGAGGGAACAGGACATGTAGTCGACGGGACGGGGGTACACAGGACAGGAGACAACACAGCCGCAACAACAGCAAAGGCACGTGCAGTTCTCCATGCGGTTAGCGACGGTGAGACGGGACAAGGGATGTGGTTAAGGGTCAGCGGTCTCACCGCCCTAACCTCGAGGGGTGCAGGCTCGCTTGAGTCAGCTCGTAACCCCACTACTCCATCCTGTACATGGCTCTTCATCTCACTCAACTGCTGCCTGACCTGGAAGGAGGACCAGCAAGCCTGGCTCAGTTGCACATCCCCACACCGCAGCCATTACAAGACCCACAAGGACCTATAAAGTTTTCCAGGGTTTTTTTCCTTGCACATGAGCTGAAATGTTTGGAAAACCACTTGTTTCTGCTAGACACGGGATGGTGGTTTAAAGCCGCTGCTGAGGGTTTGCACTAACACGGTTGAGGTGTTCAATAAAGCAATCGAGGGAGGGTGGCAGGTCCCATTGTGCCATCAATCACAACCAGGATGGACAGGGAGGCAGCTTGCCCAGAGAAGCTGTGGCTGCCCCATCCCTGGCAGTGTTCAAGGCCAGGTTGGACACAGGGGCTTGGAGCAACCTGCTCTAGTGGAAGGTGTCCCTGCTCATGGCAGGGGGTTGGAACTGGGTGAGCTTTAAGGTCCTTTCCAACCCAAACCAGTCTGGGATTCTGTGATCTAATGAGATCAAGGCTAATGATGACCTCATGCCAAGAGGCTGCACTGACCTGCACCATAGCAGTTGCAAGGCTAGGAAGAGTCATTTTCCCAAGAGCCAGTTTCCCAAGGGAAACTGTTCTGGCTCCGTTCTGAGCAGCTCTGCAAGCCAGCAGTACTGATGAGGATTTTAAAAGCCATCTCCTGAGCCTCTTACAATCAAAGTATGGATTTAAAACCAGGAGCCCCCATGGTTTTATCAGGTCTGCTGGCTCTTCTGGCCCTATATCCCAGCCCTCTTCCCCACTTCCATGCAGAAGCCCAGCCCCATCCTCCAGTTCCCTGAGTGACCCCTACATGTGCTCTGCACAGCCTCAGCTTTCCCATGCAGAGGTGGACGGATGGATGCTAAAGGCACCCAACTCTCTGCCTCAGGGTGGTGGTGGGGTAACCAGTGTCCAGCAGTGGGGTGGCTGCTACACGCCATACACGTGAGCCTTCCTGCTCTCCCTTCCTTCCCACCGCCATCACTGGAGGAGAGGCAGGCAAATAGAAATCTCCTCCTGGGTCCCAAACAACCCCTTACCAGGGACAGCTCCTTGCTCTGCTTCTGTGTTTCCATCTTGGCTGTCTCCAGCTGCTCCTTGGACTCTGACAAGAGTTGCCTCAACTGTCAAGGAAGAACAGAGAAGTCCATTCATGCACTTGGGTTTGGAACCCTTTGGCCCAAGGAAGCATTTTCATGATGGAAAATCTTCCTATGGAGCCCAAGAATCACAGACTCATGGAATGGTTTGGATGGAAGGGACCTTAAAGCTCATCCAGTTCCAGCCCCTTGCCACAGGGAGGGACACTTCCACTAGAGCAGGTTGCCCCAAGCCGCATCCAATCTGGCCTTGATTGGATTGGTTTTCTCCTGCTTTGCAAAGCTGCAGATCCCCAGGGCACTCCCCCCATCCCAAAAGCATGGATGGGCAGTGAGTCTGGCTCAGAAGAAAGAAGCATTTGAGAAGGTAACAGCCGCCACACTTACCACTTCAACTTCTTTTGTGTAGTTTTGGCGTTCAGAGCTGGCCGTCTTCAAGTGAGTTTCCAGTTGTGTTTCCAGAAGAGAGGTGTATTCCTTTAGCTGGATTAAAAGGGAGGAAACCAGGAGAGAGTTGACTGAGCTCCAGTATCTGCCAAACATCCCATGGTCCAAGGCCGCCTTCCCCAGGACAAGACAGGTGATGGACCCGAACCCAGCCCAAGCACAGGATGCATCCATCTGGCACCTGCACAGGGACCTTTTCCAGTACCCCCAAAAAAATCCTTACCTGATCTGTGCTCTGCAGATCTGCTTTCAACTTCTCCACCATGTCTTCAAGGGATTTCAGTTGGAGCTGCGACTAAACCAGAAAGGATCAGAGAAGGTCAGCGAACAACACTTCACATGGACACTGAGCACACCAACCACTGTTCCATTCCCACTTCATCCTGCACCCGAGTGTGGAACAGACCTGACATCAAAGCGGAGCTCCACAGCCTGCACGGCAGGAGCTCCAATTCTCATGGAGGATGAATCCAACAAGCCCAGGCTGTAAATCGTGGAGCGAGGCAACTTTTGCCTGCAGGACTTCAGCTGGCTGCAGTTGGCTTCCAACACCCCAGAAACTGGCACCAGACTCGGCGCAAGTTTCCTACTGAAAGTGCCTTTGGTTTGGAAACAGCAAGGCAGACTTTCCAATGAGGTGTCATGGGTTTTGCGATGGAAAGCAGCCAAGCATGGGGTTTGCATTTAAACCTGGACTGCTTTGTGGAGAGGATTCAGCTGCTGAGCTTTCGGGATAGGAGGAATTCACCTCTTCTCCACAGAGAGGCAGGGCTGCTCTGGGACACGCTCTCACCACCAGACGTTCATCCCATCACGCACACCACCAACGGCCACGTCATCCCGGTGCAATCCTACACCCCCTCAGCAGGAGCCAGCAAGGGCTGAGGAACCAAGGACCTCTTGTACAAGAGCTCCCCCCACCACCTCCCCGCAGCCCCAGTTAACTCCAGAACCCCACGTGATGGATGGGGAGCAGCCAGACCATGGAAAGCAGCTTCAGCTCAGCTCAAGAGGGAGGAGGCAACTTAGGTCTGCTCTGCAGAAGAGGCACGGCCAGCCAAGTTCTCCCAGACTCCAGCTAAGTCACGAGAGCTCACAGAACTCCTGGGCAACAACAACAGCTCTCTGGCTCTTCTTTAACCAGGAAGAGCCGTACCCAGAGCTAGACACACAGCTGGACCCAGAACTATGTGCAGAACGTGGCTTGGACCTCAGCTCCTTCCTAAAGGCTCAACAAACGCCAAGGTCAACTGGTCTTGAGAGCAAGCCAAGTCCTTCTGATAATGGGAGTTCAAGAGCCCTGCACGAGCTCTCCTCCCGTCACACCAGCATCCACCAGAAGGGCTCAGCCCCATTTCCAAGCATCCAAGCTTGGATTACTGAAGCAGTGCTGTGGTTTCCCAGCTACCACGATGCCTGAACTGGGGAGCTGTCACCATTCCTCCAGCTGCACTGGCAGGGTCTAGGCACACACCAGAGGGAAAAGAGGCCTCGCTCCTATGTGAGGTGGGCTTCTTGTCTCCTGGTTTGGTGACAGGAGAGTCCCTGTGTCCTAGAGCTCAAGACTGGCAGGAGCAGTCAGTGCCATAATCCCATTTACAGCCAGCAGCCCGTCTGCTACTGTAAGTCCAGCTGCTCAAGTGACAAACCCACCTTCTGGACTTCCTCTTCGGATGCCATGAGCTTTGCTTTCCACACCTGCTCCTCCTCCTCCACGCTCTTCTGCAGGTCTCGCAGCATCCCTTCCTGTTGGCAAACCCTCAGTGAGCCCACACCTCCTCCAGTCCTCCCCAAGCCGAGCAGTGTCAGGGCTGGAAGCTCTGGAATACCCAACACCCTCCAAGGATTTGGGCCAAACAAGGAGTGACAGAATTAGGCAGAGCTAGGGGACCCCAGCTCCTTAACTGGCTCAACCACCCTGCCCATCAGAGCCCTTGCTGTGCCACATCCCACCACCACCAGCAAGGTTTCCAATGCAATTAGGCTGAAGATGAACTCAAGAACTTCATGTTTCTCCTATTCCCCTGTCTCAATAGCAAACACAGCAGCCCCCCAACGTACTGAGGGATGCCCACAATGAGCCTGAGCTGCCAGGAGACCTCTCAAGAGGTATTCTTAGTGGCAGACCAACAGAGCACAAAGGGCTGTAACCTACCGTCTCTGCAAGGATAGTTCTGTACTGCTCACATTCTGCTTGTAAAGTGCTTTGCGCTTCTTCTGCCTCTTTTAATTTAAGTGCTGAATCCTGAAAAGAGAGGGAAGTGATGGAGAGGGAGGTGAGGAAAAGACGTGAGCGACCTTCAGGTACTGCCTCACCCCTTCACTTTCCAGCCCCTTCACTCACTGGGGGCTCTGCGGTAACTGTTTGCTGCTTTAGCACATCCACGGCCTTCTCCTTAAACTCTTGTAGCCACGTGTCATAATCCTGAGTTTGGAAAAGAAGAGGACAAGGAAGGAAAAGGATGCTCAGATGTATGTCCTTCCCACGTGGTGGAGGCTAGAGGGGCCTGAGCCAGCCCATGCCTACCTGCTGCAATGACACGGTGACACCGGGGAGGGCTGAGAGCAGCGTCTGCTTGGTTCGTGTCTGGAGTGTGTCCAGTTGTTGGGCCAGCTCTTCCTGTAAGAGGGACAAACTGGCATGGGATGGAGGTCTTGGGTGCCTCCGGTCCTGCTTTCCTGTGCTTACAGGGGTGAGCTGGCACGGGGAAACCAGCCAACAGAGACCACCACAGAAACATCCCTTCCAGATCGCCTATCTTCCCAGTTCCCTGACCAGGACCTAGCAGGGATACGTGGCCCTCAAGACAACCTTTGGAGAAGCTGGCAGGAGAGCTGGGCCAGCACTGCTCCCAGGAGAAGAGAGGCAACCCAGGGCAAGCGTCTCTGGTGGCCTGGGGAGGCTGTTTCCCTTACAACATCACCAGAGAGAAATGCCGGGCTCACCTTTGTTTTTGTAGTAGCCAGTAGTTTTTCCTCGCATGCCTTCTCCATCGTGGTCAACGCTTCCATCGCTTTCCAGTTCTTCTCACGAAGGTCCTGCCAAGACAACACACAGAGGGCAATAAGGCACACGTCATGCCCAAGGCCACCAAGCTGCTTCCTGGCACTGAGGAGGATTTGAAAGCCTCCACTCAGGAAAACAGGCATCAGCTCATCCCTGGCAGTGTTCAAGGCCAGGTTGGATGGGGCTTGGAGCAGAGCTGGTCTAGTGGAAGGTGTCCCTGCCTGTGACAGGGTTTGGAACTGGGTGAGCTTTAAGGTCCCTTCCAGCCCAAACCAGTCTGGGATTCTATGATTCCACTGCCCACATGTGCCCCCTTCCCTCTCCATCCCTGTCACGGCCCAGGTGATGGCCTTGAGGGAGCAGAGCAGAGCTGGATGGAGGCAGGAGCTCTAGGAGTAGCCCTCAGGGTGCCTAGAGAGGACAGAGGCCAAGCAGAGGGCCTCAAGGTTGCCTCCACACAACTATTACCACCCTGTAGTAGAGGAATAAGGAGCAGAGGAGCAATGAGGTGTGAGGGACCCTTGCTCAGGGATTGCTGATGGGACCCTGATGGGGTAGGAGCTCCCTGGCTTACCAAGAGAACAGGGGACAGACACCCGCACAGCCTGACAAGGGGATTCCTGCTCTCCAGCAGATGAGGCAATGCCTCCGGTGCTCCGCCAGGCCACACCATGGAGCTTCGATGGGTTTGTCATTCAACCCCTAGAGATCTCAGGTTTGGAGGAGTAAACTGTGAGAGGCAAAAGCTGAGCCCGGCTCACTCACGTACGTTGTTTTTCATCTTCTGTTGCTCCACCGCCTCCCGCAGCCCTGTGGCTTCCCTTTCCAAGGACAAGAGCTGCTCTGTCTTCTCCTGGAGCCTGGAAGGGCAGGATGCAGGAGTGAGTCTCAGCATCCACCACCCTCCCAGGTAGCAAGGTCCCAAGATGGGGACCACAGCCCTTCCTATCCCGGTCTGCTCCAGCATCTACAACAGCAGGAGGAATCGGACTAAAAACCACAGCCATGGCCATGCTGGAGCAGGATCTGGCTTTCTACTGGGTTATCAGCAGTAATGGAGTAGCTGGCTGTACACCCAGGACAGGAGGAAGAAGCAATCTGATCCAAAGGCCAGAAATTCCAGCTTACACAACCAGGACTGCTCCTGTCCATGGTTCCTTAGGCTGAGACAGCTCTGCATTTCTAAAGCGTCATCCTACTATCTTGAGTAACCAGTCTCAGCTACTACCTGTCAATCTGGGGCCAACAGTGGAGCCAATTAGTACTTTAAAGCCCTGGGAGACATGGGCAGCAAAGTGGAAGTGCCATAGCAGTCTCCACATGCACCCAGACCCACCTTGACTGCAGCTGCTTCATTTCTGCTTCATTGGCTGCCTGGAAGAGAGAAAGCACTTTCGTTACCTCTCCTAGGCACATGATGCAGGTTCAGCCCTTCCTGCAGCATCCCGGAGCAGAAGATAACACAGGTATCGTGTTAACACAGCGCAAAAGCACCTGCTTGAGCGGTGTCACCCCCTCCCCTCCTCCCACCCCATTTAAACAAACACACAACCTGCAAGTCTCTGTCTTTTTGTGCCTCCCTCATCTGTCCTGCCTCCAGCAGAGCTTCAATGGATTTGATCCTTTCTAGGAGCTTTGTGTTCTCCGAGCTGGCATCCTGCAGTCTCCCCTTCGCATTGTCTAGCTCCAGCAGCTTGCTTTTAACTTCTGCTTCAGAGCTCAGCAGCTTGGCCTGCAGTTCTGTTGGAGGAAAGGGTGGGAAACAACGTAAGGTAGGTGCAAACAAATCTGGAGGCTCCCCACCCTGCCCTGCCCAAGTAGGACTATTGGCCAAAGAAGCCTTGGCCATGGATGCTTTTCAGAACGCAGGGATGCTGGACAGCCCAGGAGAGAGGCGCTGGAGTGGCATCCATATGAGCATGGACCAGCCCCGTGTCTTGCTCACACTGATACCAGGTATCCTAACTCAACCCTGGGTCTCCTTGTCCCACCGAGCACCCAGCCCCAAAAGCTCTGGGTCTGCTTCAGAGCTCTCCCTGCACCAATCCAATGTCCTCACCAGCAATGCTCTGCTGCTGTCCTTTGGCCTTTTCTGCATCTGCCAACAAGCTTTTGTAGCTGGTCTGGGTTTTGCGGAGCTCATCACTTACTTCATCCAGCCTCTTCTGCAGCATCGTCTCCACCTCCCTTTGGGAAGCCTATATGGCAGGAAAAGAAGGCTTTCGTTGCGTGCCAGGTCGAAGCAAAGCTCCGTGTGTCACATAATGGTATTTTTAAGCTGTGCTTCAGGGGTTTAAGTCATCTTCCCCCCTGCTCCCCACTGTGCACGAAGCATCTTGCCTCGTGCGTGGGTTTTGTCACTGCCAGCCCTCAAGTGGGAAGCAGACAACACCCAAATGTCTCAGTTCTGGGCCAAGACCACGGGCATCCTCTCCTCTGCTGCAGCTCTGAAAAGCCTCTGAAAGCACAGAGGTCCTAATGCACAGCCCAGCAGAGAGAGGTGCTGCCATGGTGCTTAGCAGGACGGAGATACCCAGCCACGTGTTTCCACAGCGGAGGAATGTTCTGTGCTGTTTCAGCCAGGGAATACTTGCTTTTTCCATCTTAGAAAGTGGTGAGGAAGCAGCCTGGACAAGGCAGGCGCTTCAGGGCAAAGGCAGAGGAGGAGGACAAGCGTGCTGCAAACCAGCCACTCTGGGGGTATGAGTTGCACCCTTGCAGATGCAGAAACACTGCTTTGCATGGAGGTGATAGAAGGTAAACCAGCAACCCCGTCTGTCTCTGAGGGATGCTTCCAGAACCACTAGGATATCAGGACTTCTCCGTTCCTTGAGGTTTTGACCCTGTATCCTCAGCTCAGAGCCTCAGAAGAGAAGGTTCAGGGGAGATCCTAAAGGAACTGACAAGAAATCTGGAGAGGGGCTTTGGACAGGAGCCTGTAGGGACAGGACAAGGGGGAATGGCTTTAACCTGACAGAGGGGAGATTGAGATGAGACATTAGAAAGAAATTCTTCCCTGTGAGGGTGCTGAGGCCCTGGCACAGGGTGCCCAGAGAAGCTGTGGCTGCCCCATCCCTGGCACTCTTCAAGGCCAGGTTGGATGGGGCTTCAACCAGGGCACTGTACTCCCAGGGCTTTGCTGGTGATGCTGCACCAAGAGCACATTGCATGTGACAGACTAACAACAGGGAGGAAATCAGGAGGTCTGCAATGCAGCCTGCTTTCCAGCCATGGACTCTCATCTCCCTCCAAGTGCTCCCCATGTTCAAGCCCACAAATCCCATGCAATTCAGCCACCATCTCTGTGAGGGGAGTGGGTTTGCTGGCGCCTGCCTGACCTGCAGCTGCTCGATCTGCTTCTCTGAGGCCAAGGCTTTGATCTCCCAGCTCTTCTTCTGCTGCTCCTCCTGCTGCAGCCCCTCTGATTTCTCAGAGAGCTCTTTCACCAGCTTGGTGCACTCCTGCCGCAGCTTGGCCAGCTCAGCGTTTTGCCTGCACCAACAGAAGCAGGGTTAATGTAGCCCATAGGCCAGCCAAGCACCTCTGATGTTACCTAAGGGGGAAAACATCCTCCTGTGGGCTTGAATCAGGACTTGAAACTTCCCAATGGCTGTGTTCCCTGTTTCTAGTCCATGCCTGGTCCTTGAGGGAGGGGTGGAAAGAGCTGACAAATCCCTTCTCCAAAGCCATGTTTCAATCACAGGAGACATTCCTTTCTCATGAGGTAGAGGACACAAGGATCTGTGTTCCCAGACACAAGAGGAAGCGCTCTGAGCAGCTGGAGCCCGCTCTGTAATTATTTGACCGCTGTTAATCACCAGCCATTCAAGCTTCCTATAAAAAGGAGTGTGAAATTCTTCTACCTGGCTCCTATTTGTTCTGCACACACCAGGCAGCCCTCAGTTCTCTGCAGCATCAAAGAGCCAGCTGCATTTGTTCACGTGTTTGAGAGTACAAGCTCCCCTAAGGTGGGAAGTGCCACGGTGCCTTCTGGTCCCCTCTCCTTCCATCCGCTGCCTGTTGGGTCTACCATCAACACAGGTGACTCCAAAGCAGAATAGGGTTCCACTGCCCTTCCACTTGGGAAGAACATCCTTGTTTCCCCTGCCAGCCCCCAAAAGCCATTTGCCGAGCTCTTCCTCACCCTCTCCTCTAGCTGGCCTGTCTACAGAAGCAAGGAAAGGGGGTGACCAAGTGTAATGGACAGCCAAGCCCAAGGTTTGCCAGAGGGCAGCCCTATGCTCTGCCCCCCATCCCAACCTTACTTGCTTTCCATCTGGCTGGTGGCCTGGTTAAGGGCATCCCTCAGGATGGAGTTCTCCTGCTGCAGTCGGGCCAGCTGCGTGTTGGGGCCATTCTCCAGCTGCTCCTGCAGCGTCCGGATCTAGAGAAACCCAGCAGGGGTTAATGCCACCACCAGCCCCTTTGCCCTCCCTGTGAAGCCCACACAATGAGCAAGAGGGACTGGCAGCATAGAGGGGATGTCTACTGATGCTGTTGTGACACCCCATGAGGATGCTCCCACATGCCTCTTCTCCCTCAAGCACCAAGGTCCAGGAACATCACAGAACCATTAGGGTTGGAAGGGATGGCTGGAGATCACCTTCTCCAGCCCTCCCGCCATGGCAGGGCCACCTACGGTGGGTTTTGAATGCCTCCAGAGAAGAAGACTCCATGACTGAACCCCTGGGCAGCCTGTTTCAGTGCTCTGCCACCCTCACCATGAAGTTCTTCCTCTTGTTGAGGCGAACCTTCTTGTGTTTTACTTTATGCCCACTGCTCCTCGCCCGGTCGCTGGGCACCACTGATAAGAGGCTGGCACCATCCTCCCCCCCAAGGCTCCGGTCACCTCGCACCCCTCAGTGCTCTCCAAAAGCCACCCCAGCAGCCAGAAGCTGCACGGAGGAGCAGAGCGTGGGGCTCACCTTGCCCTGGAGCTGCTGTGTTTCGCTGACGTGGTCCTGGTAGCTGGCCTGCATGCGCGCCTGCACCGCGGCAAGCTCCCGCTCGCGGGCCAGCAGCTGCTCCTTCAGCTTGCCCTCCACGGCTCCTGCCTTGGTCCGCTCGGCCACCAGCTCCTTCGAGGAGAGGTCACCCCGTTAGTCCCCAGCGGAGGAGATTCCCGCTCTAGGGATGCAGGATGGGTGGCTCCTAGCTCAGAAGACTTCACAGTTTAGCCCTTCCAGAGCTGCCCCCCTGCCCAGCTGCACCGTTTAGCACTTACATTTCCTCCTGCATTTTGTTTTGGGCTCTGTGGCCACTGGATGCCACTGTTGTTCCACATTGGGGCAGCTAAGAGAAAGGAGTTAAGACAGCCTGGAATTGGATTTCCTCTCCCTCCCAGGATCAATAACATCACATAAAAGTTTGGGGAAAAGCTGGAAAAGTAATACCGAAACAACAAAAACACAACCAAAAAGGCACCCTCTGCCGCCTGACCAGGCAGGATGCTCTGCTGGCTGGTTGGGCAATGCTGTGCTGCTGCCTTGTGTGGTCTGCAAAAGCTGGGGCTTATAGCACAGCATGGGGTGGCTTTGCCCTCTCCTCTCCTGCCTGCAGGCAGATGGACTCACCACTGCCTGCGTCTGCCGGGTGCAAGGTGCTGAGTCCACCACGGTGGGGTCTGCACCCACTTGAACACCCGAAAAGAGGCGTAGGCAGGGGGCTGAGTGAGGGAAGGGGGCTATAAATACAATCAGGCTTCCTGAAAAGGGATTGATCAACATCTTCTCAGCTCAGGGGATCAAGGCAGAGACAAGAATGGATTTGTTTTCCTCTCTAAAGCAGCGCAAAGCTGCATCTTTTCCATGAGGGGCTTTGCCCCCCTTCTCCCATGGCTGCCAACAGGCACTACGCTGAGGCTCTTTGGGCTGGATCAGGCCCAGGAGAAGAGGTCAGGGGAGAAAACCGCAAATGGGTGGAAAGCCAGAGATTCCCCTGGGCTTCACCTCCAAGGGGGATGAGATGCAGGAGGCACACGGTGAGCCCCGACCAGCAGAGCCCACACCAGGGGTGCCAGGAGGACCGCGCAGCCCTTACCTTGCTCAGCTCCCGCAGCTTGTTCTTGGCTGCAGCTGCATCCTCCTGCTCGGTGCTGAGCTGCTTCTCCTTCTCTTCCAGCTGCCGTTTCAGGACAGCAACCGGGTCTCCCTTCTGCGTGGCCTGAAGGGAGGCACGTCAGTGGGGACCCCCACCTCCAAACCCCTCCTCTCCATCCCACACGTGCAGGATCCTGCCCTCTGCGCCAGGGGAAAACTCAGCTCCAAGACTGACCAAGGAGATGGAGGTGCCTTCCCTTCCCTCCCCTCCACAGCTCCCAAGGCTTGGAGAGCCCACGTGGCAGCCCTACCGTGTGCCAAGTGTCCTGGACGATGCCCGCCTTCTCCGTCAGGATCTCGATGAGCTGCTGGGCCTCCCCTTCACTGAACACCATGCTGCTGATGGTGGACACAAGCGTCTTGTAGGGCAGGTAGAGGGGCCCGTCTGAGTCTGCAGGTGCTAGGGAGGAGAGAGGAGGGGTTGGGACCACTCAGGCCAACAGCACTGCTGAACAGCAGCATCTCAGCTGGCTTCAGTCCCACAACTGCCGTTTCAAACCAGCATCCACACAGATTTCCAGCCAAGTTTGATACCTCTCTAATTGAAAGCAATATGATAAGGGGGACCTTATTGCTCTCTAGAACTGCCTGAAAGGAGGATGGAGCCAGGAGGGGGCTGGGAACTGCTCCCAAGGAACAAGACATAGGAGAAGAGGAAACTGCCTCAAGCTGCACCAGGGGAGATTCAGACTGGATATCAGGAACAACTTCTTCCCCAAAGGGCAGTGGAATAGGCCACCCAGGGCAGTGCCGGAATCACCATCCCTGGAAGTGTTCACACACCGTGTAGATGAGGCCTTCAGTGCCATGGGTTAGTGGTGGCCTTGGCAGTGCTGGAATGGTTGGACTGGATGAGCTTGAGGGTCTTTTCTAACCTGGTTGATTCTGTGATTCTATACTGGGCTGCATCCCCAGAGCGTGAGCAGCAGGTGGAGGGAGGGGATTCTCCCCCTCTGCTCTGCTCTGGTGAGAGCCCCCCTGCAGTCCTGCACCCAGCTCTGGGGGCAACAACACAAGAGGGACGTGGAGCTGTTGAAGTAAGTCCAGAGGAGGCCACGGAGATGCTTTGAGGGCTGGAGCAGCTCTGCTCTGGAGACAGGCTGAGAGAGCTGGGCTGGTTCAGCCTGGGGAAGAGAAGGCTCCATGGAGACCTTAGAGCAGCTTCCAGTGCCTGAAAGGGCCAACAAGAAATCTGGAGAGGGGCTTTGGACAAGGGCCTGTGGGGACAGGACAAGGGGGAATGGCTTTAACCTGACAGAGGGGAGAGTGAGATGAGACATTAGGAAGAAATTCTTCCCTGTGAGGGTGCTGAGGCCCTGGCACAGGGTGCCCAGAGAAGCTGTGGCTGCCCCATCCCTGGCAGTGTTCAAGGCCAGGCTGGATGGGGCTTGGAGCAACCTCGTCCAATGGAAGGTGTCCCTGCCTGTGGCAGGCGGTTGGAACTGGATGAGCTTTAACGTCACTTCCAACCTAAAACAGTCTGGGATTCTACAATTCTAAGTGATGGAGATGATAATCACCACACACATGCGCTTCTTGAGCCAGCTGTCACCTCTGCCTGGCATTGCTACTGGTCCCACCACCCTGCCACCATCCTCCATCGAACAGAAGGATTCCCAGAAGGAGCTGGGCAGGCTTTGCCAGCGCCAGGGAGCAAGGATGTTCTGGGCATCAGAAGCACCACGATACAACTTTGCTCAGGGACATCACCCAGTGCAGCAGGGCTGGTGACGCAGAGCACAGCAAGGTCAACTCCCACCTTTCACCAGGCAGGTTTGTTCCAGCTCTTTGCTAAGCAACAACACATCTCCAACCCTTCCCTGACCCTTCTGCTAAGCCAGGAAAGCCAAGGAGCATCAGGGGCGATGATGCTGTTGTAGGACCACAGTGCACACAGTCATGATGCACAGGGGGTGCTGGGCAGTGGTTTAGGAGCTCCTGCACAGTGTCTCTGGCCCAGTGTGCTCATTTTCCTCCAGAGCCTCTAAAGCCGTTAACACCAGGGTCCCTTGAATGCAGAGCTCAGACCCTCCCAAGGACAGAGAAGGATGAGGTGCTCCAGGCATCAAAGCAGAGATTCCTCTGCAGCCCTTGGAGAGGAGCCCGTGCTAAAGCAGGTTCATCCTGAAGGACTGCAGCCAATGGAAGGCCCCACACTAGGGCAGGGGAAAGGTAGAAGGAAGAAGGAACAGCAGAGAGGAGTTGTTATGGACTGACCACAGCTCCCATTCCCCTGCTCCACTCAGGGAGGGGAGGTAGAGGAGTCAGGAGGGAGGGAGTGAAGTTGAGCCTGGGAAGAGGAGGGGGGGGGGAGGAAGGTGGTTTAATTTTGACTTGGTTTCTCATATATTTTAAGGGGAAATAAATTAAATTATGGTTTTTTGTAGACAAGGCCCCCAGTGACATGGTTTAATGGTGGCCTTGGCAGCGCTGGGGAACAGCTGGACTTGGTGACCTTAAAGGTCTTTAACAACCTTGTCGATTCTATGACTCTGATACCCATGTAGAGCCTGTTCTGCCTGTGACAGTAACTGCTAAGTAATTGCCCTGTCTCCATCCTGACCCACAACCTTCCCCATCTTATTTTCTCCCCATCCTGTTGAGGAGGGGAGTGAGAAAGCAGCTGGGTGGGCATTGGGCAACCAACCACGGTCAACCCACCACAGCAACAGAGCAGGAACACCTAGCAGCATTAGCATGCACTGCTTGCTCCTGGTTTCTGGTAGATCCATTTGGGATAGCAGCACTAAGCCCTATCCCTCGCATCCAGCCTGAATCTCTCCTCTCTTAGTTTCAAACAATTACCCTCTGTGCTGTCACAACAGGCCCTGCTAAAAAGTCTCTCCCTGTCTTCCTTATAGACCCCTCTCAAGAACTGAAAGGCCACAATAAAGTCTCTCTGGAGCCTTCTCTTCTCCAGGCTGAACAAGCCCAGCTTTCTCAGCCTTTCCTCAAGCAGAGGTGCTCCAGCCCCCGGAGCATCTTTGTGGCTGAAACAAGAAGCAGTCACCTGGCAAAACCGCCATGGGCAAGCACAGCAGGGACGAGGGGTCTGAAGAGCCACTTCTCAAACCCAAGGGAACATAGGAGACACGGATGGCCCTTGCATGGAGCCCATACCCGGGAGGCAGCACCCCAGATCCAGTACCACATCTGTTTCATGGGAGAGCTTGGCTCCTGCTATCACAGATACAAGGGACATGAATACAGGCTAACCACTTGCAAGCAAGTCTCTGTGTGATGAAGGAGGCTAAAACCAAACCACACAAGAGAAAAATACCCCAAGATGCTCTTTGTGAGCTTTTCCATCTGTTTCATGTCCCTGAACACTTTGAACACACATTTTTATCTGCCACGGGATAATCTGTTGCTTCTGCCTCTGAGGAGGAGAAACCACAGCTGCCAAAAGGCTGCCCAAACTACCTTGGTCGAACTGCAGCCAGCTTCACGGCACAAATACTGCTGAGAGCTTTCCTTGGGAAAATCCCACAGGACCACCTAAGACATCACTTAAGACACACAGGATCGGCACTACATACTCAACAGAGTAGATGCTCGGAGCAGACAAAGAACTCCCAACTTAACAAGTGCTGAAAGTTCATCTCCCATTCACATTCCCTCTGCTGCTACAGCTTGGATTTAGGACCATGATTTCCAATGTTAGAGAGGTACAACCCTGTATGCACATGCCAAACCAGCTATCTCCAACTTCCCCAACACCACCATTGCAATACCCTCCTGTAGTTGCTATTCAGACCACTTAAAAGCTACGTGGAGATGGCCTTTAGCAAAATCCCCTCCTCAGAGGAGCAGACACAAAGGGTTTAACACAACCTTGGAGACCAGTGGCTGCAAAACATCCTGCTGAATAGTAGGCCCTCTTCCAAAACATGGGAAAGGAAACTCTAGCAGTGACCCTGCTCCCCACAGAAGAGTCATAGAGCTCCTGTGTGCTTTTAATAATCAGGGGTAGTAGGGGAAAACACCTCGTCTTGGCTTTGCACCCAGGTGTGCAGCACCTTGGCACCTGTCCCCTCTCATAGGATAGGTACATGCACCTCCTGGTCATTCCCAGCGTGCAGATGTGCTTAGAGACCCACAGCACAACAGCAAATCCAAGGGGAACCTATAACTCCAACAACTGTGTGCTGGACCAAGGAGCTAAGCACCAAATGGGATGTGCTGCAGGAGGCAACACATTGCAGAGTGAAAATGAGTCAATAAACTCTTTATTTCAACAATACTTCCCCTAGAGAGAACTATGATCTAGATAGGCTTCTACAGCCCATCTTTCCTTTGGTGCACATGAGCCATGTCACCAGAGACAGCCTTTCTACAGCTGCCCTGTTTCCAACAGTGAGGAACGAAGAGATCTCAGAATGGGATAGCTCCGTTTTAACAGCACCAAGATGTGCCGCTAGCTTACTTGATGGGGATATACGCAGAGGAATTTGGCCTTACCTGGTTCGCTCTTCTTCTTAGACGAAGCCTTCTTCTTGACAGGTCCATCATGCTTCTGCTCCTCATGGGTCGGAAGAGCATCAGTTTTCTTGATGGCAACAGAGCTGATGACCGGAGGAGCACTTTGCTGTGTACCAACCGGTGGCACAGCCACCACAGGCACTTCCTTAGGGGTCACCTCCAAGACAGGAGAACTTTTGGAGACACTGACAGGAGGCGAAGCCACCACTGGGCTAGGAGCAGGCTCTACCTTTGCAACCTTCTTCTCCTTCTTCCTCTTCTCCTTAGGTGATACAGCAGGTTTCTCCTTTTCCTGGGGGGCCACTGGCACCGCTGCAACTGGAGACTCAACAGTTACAGGCTCAGGCACCACAGCAGGTTCAAGAACCACATCCTTGGGAGAGTCCACCACTTCCTGAGTCACCTGCTGCTCCGGGATCTTTCCATTAGGTTTCTCTTCCTTTTTCTTTGCTTTTCCTTTTTTCTCAACAGGTTTCTCTTTCTTCTTTTTCTCTATTTTCTGCTGCTGGGTCTTCTCAAGTTCTTTGCGTTGCTTGGCCAAGGCTTCCTCATAAGACGTCTCCTTCATGGAGAAGGTGGACACCAGGAAGATCCCAATGGCTGATATCACCATAAAACCTCCAAAGACCATAACACCCAGCGTCTGAGGATCATACACATCCATCCTGCCTTATTCTTCTGTGCCTGCAAGACATCAGAACAACAGTTAGTGGGGGGAAAGAGATGAAACAGTCTCTGTGCAGGGAGTTTCGTAAGGACATCTGTGTCTACAAACAGCACCACGGACTGAAAAGGCTGCAACAACCTCCAGAAGAACCAAAGAGAGGGAATTAAAGAACAGGGATGTGGAGACAGCCATGAGCAACTACCTATTAGTCTGATGGGATGGATTTGCATGACCTCAGGCAATACCTGCAGCCCTGTGGCAGATAAAGAGCCTGTTTTCAGACTGTCTGGTGCAGTCTGGCCAGGACCTGGGCTCTCCCTGGAGCATCCGTCCTTGTCATTGCACCCAGACACACATCCAGGTCTCAACTTTGGAATCAAACTCCGCCCTGGAAGGAGAAAGAATGCACAGGAGAGCTTTCCCCAGCTTTGCAGCAGCCTTCTCCCTTCACCGCTTACACCCTGAGGCACTGCTGGCTTCTGCCCAGCCCGGGGAGGAGGATGCGGGGTGACCACATCCCGCTGCAGAGCTGTCCCCAGCAATGAGAACCACCCCAGCAACGATGCTGCATGCACAGATTCCACACAGAGAACCAAGTCACCACCATTTCCTTAAGATATAAATACCAATGAAAGTCACAAGTTCAAGCTAAAAAACCCCAAAAGGATGGTCGTTAGTTATCTCATCTCCACAGGAGCTGCCTGCAGGAAGAAGTGAGACTTGCAAAGCAAGTGCTGGATGCAGAGCTTCTCTTTCTACTTCTGCTGTTAGCTGGTGGGTAAACCAGCCACAGGGTCCTTTCCTCCCTCCTCTCCAACCTCAGGTTTTCCACCTGTAATGGAGCAGCAACGGAGACTCTATCCCCTGTCTGAGATCTGTCAGCCACACATGGAGAATGATGCTGCTATCTCCACTCTTCTCAACTGCTAGTTGAACCCTGTCCCGAGTTTCAAAGCCAATCTCTTATCTGCTGTCCCACTCACGTGTTCCTCCCATCAGGGCATCACCTTCACGTGGCTGCGAGGTGGCTCCTGAACCCCAGATGCTGGAGTCTGGCAGTTAATCTGCAAAGGGGCACTTCCCAGGAGGTGCCTGCCTGCGGTTTCTTGTTATTGTGCCTCAAAACAGAGTGCAGAAACTCCTCGGCTATCGCAAGTTCCCATCCCCACACTTAACTGCAAACATGATCGCATTTCCTCTTTAGGAGGCTGTGGGTTGAGGCGGGAGGGAGGGGTTGGAAGGGGAAGAGGCAAAAAGAAGAATAAACCCAAGGAGATCAGCATCTTTTCAAAACCTCAGTGCTCTCAGAGGGACACCTTTACCTGTCCAACTGACGGAGAAGGGAACCCGCAGCCAATCTGCAGCTCAAGGCTGCTCATGCAGCAAGGGGGTGACAGTGCAATGAAAAACTCTCCTCCAACACCCAAGCAGAGCTGGAAGGGGCTGCAAAGCGGCTGTTTCCCATTGGAGATACTGCCCTGCCCAGGGAAGGATGCTTTAACCAGCAGCCCAGCACTCCCGGCCCAACCTCTCCAACCATCCATCCAGGCAAAGCAGGAGAGAGCTGGCAGGCGGGAGGGCTGCCAGTGCCAGCTGGAACCAGCCTCCCCTGGCAGGGCCAGCTTTCTACCCCAGGGCACCACTCGAGATCCCAGCTGATACTACAGGCATCCCCACTTCACATCCGCCCCGGCTGTTTCGGATTTAAACAGCCTCAGCCCGCTGTATCCCAGCACATCTGGGGCCAAGTCACCCCCTTCTTACTAAACAGCATCACCCTGGGACAGTCCCCACCAGGACAGACAGATTATTCCTAACCTACAGAGTGGAAAGGGCTGGATTTCCTCTCCCTGGCAGTAAATACAACGCAGGGCTGGAGAACACATACCCATGACCTTGTGCTGGGTTTAGGGCTACACTGAAGCACCCAGAAGCTGTTTTAGGGAAGGAACAAGGCGACCTGTGTTCCTTGCCCAGCAACCCAGACACATCAGTAAAAGTAAACACTTCCTGGCCTCGCACCACCACTGCTTTGTATTTAGATGAGAACTTGTTGCTCCAGCTTAGGGCAAGGACATTGCCGATCACTGGCAAATGCACCCCAACCCCACCAGCTGCTACTGCCACCTCCAAAAGCAGCTGGATGGAGCCCACAGAGGATGGGAGTGGAGGAAAACACCCCAAACCTTTGCTATAGAGGCACCCAGCACTCAGGGAATGGATGAGGACAGTTATTTCACACAGAGCGGGGTGGGGAGGTGGGTGAGATGGCAGTGCCGGATGCAGCACTACACTGCCTCAGCTCTCTGCCTGACCTACATCTCACCCCACACTGCTGTCCCCACAAAGCCCTTACACGCAGGGTCCTTAAGCCCCACATCCCCTCTGTCCCACACGCAGCCTCACCCAGCCCCACTGCTGTAAAAGCTGCCTGCACCTTGCCTCCTCTCAGGCTTTACAGCCAGGGCCAGATAAGGATGCAGATTAGCGTTAAAGTCCTTCCTAGCTAAACAGAGAAACCACCCAGCAACCCCTTCCAAAACAAAACCAACACAAGGAAAAAGCAGCCAAGAGCACTGACCAGCTGTGGACCTGCTGGGAGAGCTGTCACAGCAGTGATGCTTGCACGGGCCATTGGGAAGCTCCCACCATTGGACCAGAGAAACCCCGTGCTGTTCCCAAGGTGTGCCAGGAGAATGAAGAGCGAGAGATATCAACCAGGCAGCAATTGCTCCCAGCAGCACCATTAAGGCAAAGGGAAACCTTGGTCCTGTCCTGATGCTCGTGCCCCGCAGCCCACAGTGTGGGGCTGGTCCTGGAAGACCCGGCGCTGACTCCAAGGAGCAAGTTCTACCAGTAGAGTTCCTCCTGCGGTTGAGACCTGGCACGGACCAGCCCCACAGCTCGTTCAGGGAAGAGCCTATCACCTGGCAGAGCAAAGATGGCAGCAGGTTGTATGCTACCAGAGAATCATAGAACGGGTTGGGTTGGAAAGGAGCTTAAGGTCATCCAGTTCCAACCCCCTTGCCATGGACAACACGTGCTTAAATCAAACCAGCTTTGCCCTTTGGAAGGAAAGCTCTCCATACTTCCCACCTGCACGAAGCCTTAGACAGGACATGATAAAACAGGGCACCAAAGGTACCACCATTTGTCTGCTAGCGGATGGCTAAAGGATGGTTTCACACTTCAAGGTTTCACTCAACAGCCAGGCTCTGAAGAGGCTTGAAGACTTCAGCATCCTCCACTCTGCAGGACTTTGTCTCTACTACGATGCTTTTCAGTCTGATGCCCAGGCTGTTCTGGGAGATGGCTGGATGCTTAAAGGGTGCAGAGACAGCACCAGCTATCACAGTCCATGTTCACATCTGGCACTTAAGCACATTTACCTGCATGAAGTTTCTTGAATAAGATCATCCTCTGCTCCTCACCCAGCTGAAACAGCAGAAATCAAGTATCTCCACAGGCAAACTCCTTCCCTAGAGCAGCTTGTTCAGGTAAAGCTTTTCACAACCACAGAACAGGACTAAGATGGATAAGTGGTTATTTATTTCGCTTGGCCTTCTCATGTAAAGGAGACAACTGAAAAACGCTGAGCTCTGACTCTTCCATTCCCATTATCCATCAAACTTCCCAACATCCCAAACAACAACCCGGGAGACCTGACCTCCCCAGCCACCCTGCACGGGCACTCACCTCTGTTTGCCCTGAGCAAACCCACCCTAAGGAAGCCAGATTAGTGAAGCACCCAGCCTTGCTGGCTTTCCAATTTAACTAACTAACTAACTAACTAACTAATCAAACTAACTAACCCCCAGACACGTGGTGTGACAGCAGAGGGGCCACGCTCGCTGTCCTGCTGCATTTGCCAAGGACAGCTTTGTGTCAAAAATCAGGTAGAGCCTTCTCCTGTTCAGCCTTTCCTCTTCGCTATTCCATGGAATCCATGGGTATTCAGTGTCTTTGCACTCAGTCCTCCGCCAGCCCTGGTTTCAATCAGTCAGGTCAAGCGTCAGGTGAGCAGGAGCAAAGGAAGAGACGGGTTGTGTAATAACTACAGAAACCTTAATTCTTTACACAGCCAATGGAAAAATATACCTGTTATCTCTCCTGTTCTGGATAAAAGCTGCAGAAAGGAAAACATGCTCTCTGCAAGCAGAACACTTGGTTCCTCCACAACCCAAGGCTGCATAGAATCCCAGACTGGTTTGGGTTGGAAGGGACCTTAAAGTTCATCCAGTTCCAACCCCTGCCACAGGCAGGGACACCTTCCACTAGACCAGGTTGCTTCAAGTCCCTGTGTCCAACCTGGCCTTGAACACTGCCAGGGATGGGGCAGCCACAGCTTCTCTGGGCACCCTGTGCCAGGGCCTCAGCACCCTCACAGGGAAGAATTTCTTCCTAATGTCTCATCTCAATCTCCCCTCTGTCAGATTAAAACCATTTCCCCTTGTCCTGTCCCTACAGGCTCCTGTACTTCGCCATGGTGTCAAGGTGGCATCTCAGGTTAAGGCAGTGTTGGAGAAGAGGCGATGGGGTGTTGGAGGGCAGACTGAGAGAACTGCAGAGCCCTCAGCAACACCTGCCTGTGAAGCACCAGGCTGAGATTTCAGCTTTTTCCCAAGCTCAAAGTTATCCCCCAGGCCAGCAGGGCAAGAAGCAGCAGCAGCAGCAGACCAGCTGCTGCTTGGGGAGGGCACTGCCTGGCCTCTGGTTCCAAGAAACAAGGTCTCATCTCCTTCCCTGCCCCTGGGCTGCAGCTACCATCGCCAAAGAGGCAGCATCAGGGGCAGAGCGACAGCTGGCGGAACAGCACCAAGGAGGGAGAGAGAACCAGGAGGCCTGATCCTGCCAATAGCAGCGGGAAAAGACAGCAGTAGCAACACCAGCAGATAACAGACAAGCACCAGATGCCCCTCCTGGAGCTTGTCTCTCTGCCCTGTCACAACCAAGGCAAAAATTAAACACAAATGGGAGAAGCCCGTGCGCGGATCCTGCCCGCATCCCACAGCCTCTGCTGAAACACATTTTCTGCCTAAGTGACTGTGCACTTCCAGCCTCCTGGCAGCGTGTGTTACCCTATGGAGCAACTCCAGATTGTCAACAGTTAGAGCTCCACTTAATTGAACATGTCTCAGCGCTCCATTAGCTCTTGGAGTGCAGCGGCTACGGCCACGGCCCTGGGCAGCGCTGCCAGTTCCCTCCCTGAGCCCCAGAGTGCAAAAACAGGGCAGAAGAACCATACGTATCATAGAATACTGGTTTGGGCTGGAAGGGATCTTAAAGCTCATCAAGTTCCAACCCCCTGCCACGGGCAGGGACACCTTCCACTAGATCAGGTTGCTCCAAGCTCCGTCCAACCTGGCCTTGAAGACTGCCAGGGATGGGGCAGCCACAGCTTCTCTGGGCACCCTGTGCCAGGGCCTCAGCACCCTCACACGGAAGAACATCTGCCTAAGAGCTCATCTAAATCTCCCCGGTGTCAGTTTAAGGTCATTCCCCCTTGTCCTATTGCTCCAGTCCCACTACTACATATGTATATATATATATTAATACATACATACACACACAAGAAGAGTGAATTAGCACTGTAACACAGCTGCAGCTTCACTAATCGCTGCGGTGGTTGTTACAAATTTCCTCTCTCAAACAGCATTTCACCACCACCCCTCATCACACCTGCTCGGGGTCTACATCCCAGGGAGCACCCACCTCTCCCAACCTCCTTCCCAGCCCTTTCCCGGCGAGTGGAGGCCGCTGCCACCACTTCTTGCCAAGAGGAACGCTGACATTTGAGGCAGGGAGGTTCCTCTATCGCGCCTGGCCACGTGTGCAGCGCGATTCCCCGGCGGGGCGAGGAATTCCCGGTTTGCCGGCGGGCAAGCTGGTGACATCCAGTTTGGAAAGATCCCAAGCTGGTATGGGGGGGGTGCCTCTGCTGCCTCTGCTTACAGAGTCGATGCCTCTATCGGAAAGCGTCGGGCATCGCTGGACGCAGCGCTGTGGGGATCCCTCAGTGCTTGGGGGGATTTGGGGGGATGTTAGTTAAGAGAAAGAAATAAATACGGAACAACTGCCTGCGGGCTGTGACCTTTTGTAACGGCGATTAACCCGATTAGTGAATTTCATCAGGAAGGCGCTGGGGCAAGGAATGGGGCTGAAGGCTGCGGAGCAGGCGGTGATGCCCGTGGGGCAATGCCCGTCGGTAACCGGGGCCGGGAAGCCGAAGGGGGGACCGGGTTCGCCTCCTTCCTTCTTCCCTCCCCTCCCGTCCGCCCCCGCCGCCATTCCACACCGCCCTCGCCTCGGAGGCCATTCATCCGCCTGACCCCCCCCCGCCCCGCAAACGTGGCCAGCCCCCAAACCCGGGATCCCATCCCCCTCCCTTCCCCGTTCCCGGGAGCGCCGGCATGGGGGTGGATGCCCCCCTCTCCCCCCCGCTGCTACGGGGGTCCCGCCTGGAAGAGGAAGGGAAAGGGGAGGGTCCGACCGCCGCCGCGTACCCACCGGTGCCGGGTCGCGGTCCCTGCTGCCGCCGTGGCCGCCCGTGTGGAGTCGTGGCACTTTCCGCCGCTGTCTCGCCGGGTTCGGGGCCGCCCCGCCCCGCCCCGCCCCGCCCCGCCCCGTCCCGTCGCTCCGCGCCGCACCGCGGGGCCCACTCAGAGCGGCGGGGCGGGACGGAACCGCACCGGACGGGACGGGACGGTGCTGGGGGTGCAGTCCCCGCGGGTGGAGGGACCCCTGCGTGCCCTAAGGAAGAGCTGGGAGAGGATGGGGGGAAACCCGGGAGCTCCCTGCCGTGGGTGGGGAGGATGATTCAGGCTCCGGAGGCTCTCCGAGGGCACCACGGAGCAGAGAGAACCCCGAAGAGGGACGTGGAGCTGTTGGAGCAAGTCCAGAGGAGGCCACTGAGATGCTGTGAGGGCTGGAGCAGCTCTGCTCTGGAGCCAGGCTGAGAGAGCTGGGCTGGTTCAGCCTGGAGAAGAGAAGGCTCCTTAAGGGGAGACCTTAGAGCAGCTTCCAGTGCCTAAAGGGGCTACAAGAAATCTGGAGAGGGGCTTTTGATAAGGGCCTGTAGGGACAGGACAAGGGGGAATGGCTTTAACCTGACAGAGGGGAGATTGAGATGAGACATTAGGGAGAAATTCTTCCCTGTGAGGGTGCTGAGGCCCTGGCACAGGGTGCCCAGAGAAGCTGTGGCTGCCCCATCCCTGGCAGTGTTCAAGGCCAGGTTGGACACAGGGGCTTGGAGCAACCTGGTCCAGTGGAAGGTGTCCCTGCCCATGGGAGGGGTTGGAACTGAATGAGCTCTAAGGTCCCTTCCAACCCAAACCAGTCTGGGATTCTATGAAAAATCACACAAAAGGTCTGGGTTCAGATGAGAATGTCTCCCAGCCTCCACATCTTCAGCCAAGCCAAAAGCTGTATCTCTCCCTTTCCTGCACCTCCTCGGTCACATTGAGGTGCACACTCTGGGTTCTGGGCACTGACTGCAGACTGAGAAATGAATGCACTATAAGAGTGGCTGCGAGGGAGTGATAATTTGGAACCTTTCAGCCTCCTGCCACCTCGCTCCTTGCAGCCTGCTGTGGCTGCTTGGGGCACTGATGTTGTATTCCAGTAGCCAGCCATTCTCGGGAGCAGGCAATCAATGCTGTTCTTCCTGGTTATCCCTGGGGTTTACATCCGCATCATCGCCCCTTGCACGGAGAACAAGCTGTGCCATTGAGGCCAGGCAGGGCACGGGCAGCAGGTCCTGCCCACAGCCTGGTACGTCTCGACACAACAGCAAGGAGAATAAGAGACTGTTTCATGCGGGCTGATGTGATGGAAGAAGAGAAAAAATGCGCTAATGGAGAAGCATTCTGGGCTAATTATGATAATAAGGCTTCTGCAGAGGGACCTGAAATAGGCATAAACACTTCCAGTGTAGAGTGAGCAGATGGAGCAGGGATGTGAACCCAGGTGTCTTCTGCCACCATGGCACAGCTCTCTCGGTTCCTCCTCCCTCTGCTGTGTTTCGGGGCTGTAGATGGATGTCTGAAAGCCTTGTTTGCCCTCTGCTCACCACCATGGCTCAAAGCTGGTCCACCCCACAGCACTCTTCCCATTATCCACAGCCTATTATTCTTTGGCCTTTCCCCTCCCACTTTCTAAGACCTCAAGCATATACCTCCCACCATGGTGTTTCCCTCTGATTCTTGCTGCTGATCCAGGCCACTGGGTCCTGTATTATCAGTATAATTTGCTTTCCCCCCATATCAAAGGAATTCTCCCTAACTACTAGTTCACCCAACTCCTGCCCAGAGACAGCATCCAGCCCAAATGGAGAGGTCTGTGTACCCTGTTGTTAAAACAACCAGAGCGCTGGCGATTATCCACGGTCATCCTCTCCGCTAGACAGTTTTTCTTGGGTTCAGTTTGAAAACCCCTTGCTCCAGCTCAAGTTTTTCAGTTCCCAGTTATTTTTGCATCCACAAGTCTTTGGCTGTTGGTAAAGAAGCTGTTGTTTAGCCCTGGAATGGCTCCAGATCTCTTCACTGGATGTATTAGTTATCCTAAATTCATAACCATCGCTGGGGTATTTTTAGCTCTGCGCAACAGTCATCAAACCAACCCCGCCACAAGGTCTGCAGGGCTCTCTCTGCAGCCCTGTCTCTTCTGAAGGTCCAGACTCAGTCGTTGCAGAGATGACCATGAAATCCTGCTTGGGTAGGATTGGGATCCACATCCAGGAGGCTGAGCATGCAAACAGACATGGCTTGTGTTTCCTTACAGGAGAGCAGTCAGCTCTGCCTGGGCTCAGCCTTGCATTTCAATCCTGAGCACTTGGACTGTGCCTGCCACCCTTGCTCCCACCATGGGATACTTTATGCTACAGGAATACACCAGAAACCTGGTAGGAATGAGAGCAGAGGGGGTCCTTTGCTCCACATTTGGCTGCTGCCTGCACTATGGGAATGATGCTGCGTTGTCTACCAGCCAAGCTGATCCTCCATGTAGTCCTCCATCCACATTCATCCCTTTGGAGACTCTGGAAGCAGCCTTTCCTTTTGTATAAGGACAGGAATTGGTACATCTGGCCTGGATAAGGCTTGACACCAAAGAGACATGCCAACCAGTGACTTCAGCTTCCCAGTTGCATGCTCAACCAGAACTGTTCTGCAAGCAGCTCCTGCTCTCCATGGCACTCGGGAGCCCCTGATTCATCACTCTGTGCCTGTCTTGTTGCCACTTGGTAAATGTTTCACATTCTACTCCTAATTTTCTCCCAGAACTCTGCATTCTTTCACTTGCCAAGACGGACACATCCCACCAGGATGGCTTCAGATACCAGAGCTGCACAGCTTAGCCAATGCCAGGTGTTAACTTTCCCTCCCTCTGCCATGATGACAGGGATGGGGTTGTCCTGGCTGCTCCTGGTCTTGGTCCAGCACATGCCGTGGTCTCCCAAATCTCACATCAAAGCTTGGGCTGTTTGGAAGCTTCCACACAGCTATGCCAGGCACTGGAATGCTAGAGAGCTGTAGGACTCAGCATTAGCCTAAGGTCACTCAGAAAGGGCAGCTGGTAGACTGAGTGTAGCTGGATCCATCCCAACCTCAGCTGCACCATTCGATGCTGCTGTAGATGCTGCGGTATCACTTGTGCCAGAGCAGGCTTGTAACAGGAAAAGCCAGCCTAAGGGCAAAGCCAGGAACACAAGCTAATTTGGGAACACAATGGTTATACTAATCAAAACACCTTCCAGAAAAGAAGGGAAGGAAATTACCTAATCCTTCACCATGCAACGTGGCACCCCAGTGCCCAGTCTGCAGAAGCAGGGCTATATACAGCTTAGAAGAACAGGCATTCTCATCTAGGCAAGGAAAAAAGCATAGGGATCTCTTGTCCTCCAGACATTCTTCATTGACATTGGATGCAGGAGAATCTCTGTCTTCCCCACCCCAAACTGGCTTTAGGTCCAGATAACTTCATGCATCTCTTGAAAGCTTGGCTGGACACAAACTGACGTGATTCCAGGAGCTGGGGCTTAGCAAGAAACTTCTTCAGGACTTGGAAAATCTGCCCAGAAAGAAGGGTTGCAATGATTCAGGGACGTGCAGCTTGTCTTGTTCCACCACTAACAGATTGTGATGGGGCAATCACTGATGATATCAAGGGAACTATTCTCACTTCCCATGTATTATCTCAGCAGGGTTCAAGCTCCTTGCCTGACTCAACATCTGGAAATTGTAATCCAGCTGAAAACAGCCCAGGAAGGACCTCCTGATGTGCCAGGAACAAACACAGCTCCCAGCTTTGAGAAATCCCAGAGCATGGCCCCAGGTGGAGAATTAAAGGTATTTTGGGGATACGAGCACGGCAGAGCTATGGAGAGGTCACGAATGCACTGGCGGGTTTAAATATAAAGCCACAAAGTACCTCTGGCTTAAGAGACACCTCTTCTGGGGTCAGGATGCTTTGGTTGAAGGTCTCCCATGTTCAAGCCTCCTCTGCCTATTGCACCTGCCCCTCAAAGGTGAAACTCATGCAGCACATCTCCCCTGGGTGAAGCATCATTTGCGGGAGAGCAGAGGCATTTGCTTCTGCAGGTGTCTTTTGCCTGGTGCAACCTGCATAAAGACAGGGGTAGGAAGAGACAGTCCATTGCTTCAGCTGTGCGTGAGAGAGTGTGTGTCCATACTGGTGTTGTGTGCGGATGGCAAGTGGACAAAAGGAGGCTTATGTGATCCATCTATCTACTTCCCATCAGCAGCTGATCTCTGACCAACCTAGTAACAGGCCATAAGCTTCAAAGATACTGGTGTAAACAGGAGAGGTACCCAAGGAGTCCATGAGTGCTTTGGCTGGGTGAAAGCCAGAACAAGCAGTTGGGGACATCACATGGGAAGAACATCAGGGCTTCCCACCCCACAAACACTGCACAGCAAAGCCTGAGAGCCACTGGATGCTCACAGCCCTGAAGGCCAAAGGGAAGAGAGAACTCAAAGCAAAAGGAGCTGGCGTGGCAACCACCACCCTGTCACACCAGCTCCTCTTCTCTCTGGGCTTGGTTTGCAGGGAAGCAATATGGGAAAATGTGAACTGTGTCCATGGTTGGAGGTTTGGATGTGGGCAGAGGGACTGCAAAATCTTGGCACAAGAGCTAGGAAGGGAAAGCAAAGACCTGAAGGGGTTTCTTCTATTCAACAGTGCAATGAAAGCTGCAAAGATAATAAGGGAGAAAAACATCACCCCACAGCTTTGTGTCATGGTGTTATGGACATGGTACTAATGGCAGCTTCCAGTATATCATACCAAGCTGCTGTGAAGCCCTTCGGATAGAAAGGCAGTGCCATCAACCCCACTTTTCAGGAGGAGAAACGCAGGCAGAGGGAGGATGCAGCTTTTCCAGGGCCAGTGATGGAGGCATCTCCCGGGTCCCAGCTGAACGTGCTGACTCCCCAGCGAGCACAGCATCATCCACCATTCATGTCTGTTGAGGCACAGTGCCTCCTTCCAAAAAATCACATTCCACACTCATGTAAAAAACATGCATTCTAGAAGGGACAAGTTTTTCTGGAGGAGAAAAATTCCTGGTTTGAATATGGAATTCCCTTCTTTTTCCACCCCAAAAAAGGGCTTTCTATGGAAAAAAATGAACTTGTATTCCCCCCCCCCCCCCGGCTTTGATTTCTGCCTGTTTGAGTGTTTCTCCAGTCACAGACACGCAACACCTACCTTGCGAAGAGGACTTTGCAAAGGTCCAGCAGCACCTCTCCATCTCTGCTGGGAAAACCTTGCTTCAGATGTCCTGGGATCTGCCACATCGGCACTGAAACGTATCAGAAGGTCTCTAAAGCAGAAACACCTAGGAATCGTTATTTACACAGAGAAGCTGAACCGGTGTACAGGGAATGCTCTGAATGTGCTGACTCTGTAATGGGACCAGTGAACCAGATCCTGAGAAGGAGAAGAAGAGAATTAAGGAGGAGGAGAAGAAGAAAAGAAAAGGAGTAAGAGAAAGAAAAATAAAAAAGCTTTTTTTAAAAGAAATATATATATATGTATTTTAAGCAGCTTTCTTTCCAAAAAACACAGCAGAAAACCTGAGGCTTGAGGAGGTTAAATCTGTGCGTGAGGTGGCATTGAATAATGCCAAGGTAAATCCTAATTCTGAATTACCCCTCTTAGGGCAGAGCCGCGTACCTGCACGGGGCCATCCAAGAACACTCTGTGCTTGCTGCCTGCACACCACACTTTGTACTCTGAGCAAAGCAGGGAATTTTACATTACCAAGTTAAAAGAAAGACCTCTCTGAGTGCGTATGCGATTACACCCAGGTGCCAGGCTGACGTCTCATCCAAGCGAGAGGTTTGAACCCACACATGGGTCACAGCAGCAATGCACCACTGCAGCAGCACAGTATGATGGCTGATGTTCAGGGGTCAAAATATCAGGGGTTTGGGGCTTAAAGGAGGCTTTTGGGTGTGCAGGGGGGAGCTGGGACTTGTGGGAGAAATTCCAAGTCCAGTTTCAGGTTTGCCAGAGGCGTCACATTTGTCCCCCCATCCGAAGACAACAGACTGGTACTGAATTAACACAGCCAGGGTGGCTGCTTGTGCCAGCCCTGCAATAGCAGCATTGGACTCTGGCAAGGGGAAGGCACCCCAACACCCCAAAATGCCCTGCTAGGCTTTGCCTGGTGTCTCCAAGGGGAGCTCTAAGGGATGCTTACAAAACACCTCTTCCTTGGATGCACCACCGCTCATCCCCCTGCCTTGGCAAGGGGCAGTGTTACTGGGGACATGACAAGGGCCTTCAAAACACCCGGAGAGAGCAGTGATTAAACAGGAGAACGCTGAGGAATAAGGTCACCACGACACTGGCCGTTTGAAGCACTCTGACACAGCAGAGCCGTCCCATGGGCAATGGCCTTTGGCTTGCTCATAGCGCCTGGGGAGCCGAGCGTGCCGCAGCACGGAGCCATCCCAGCCAGCAGAAGCTGTTCCCGTTTCCACTGCCGGGGGCAGTGCCTCTCATAAAGTTAATTAATCTCTTCATGCAGCATAATTACCCGGTGGGAATTGCTCATAAAGAACAACATGCGAAATCCAGGCCTTTGGATGTGACAGAAATGCCAAGATTATCCTAAATAAAAACCCCCATGCAGAATCAAATGCTTAAAACTTAACAGAGGGCAGGGGTCATGCTCTCCGGACTCTTTCCTAGCTGTGATTCCATTCATGCTGCTGGAAGAGCAGAACATCCCATGCTGGAACTGCAAGAGGTCCCAGAAGAGGACGTGGCAAGCATTGACCCGGAATAAAGCCAGCAAGCTGCCATTTGTCCCTGGATTTATAAATATATATATATTGTAAACTGTACTTTGACTCTGTGTACTCAAGGGAAATATTTACCTTGAGAGTGACAATGTAAAGCTCGTCTGCAGAGCTACCTCTGCTCCTATTTGTATCCCACCTTGCCAGCCTCTGAAACGCTAATCACCACACTCACACCTTCGCCAGGAAATAAATGGTGAATGCATAGAATCCCAGACTGGTTCGTGTTGGAAGGGACTTTAAAGCTCACCTAGTTCCAAGCCCCTGCCATGGGCTGAGCTGCTCCAAGCCCCATCCGAAAAAGCCCCATGCAAAAAGGCTGTTCCTTCCACAGGAGTGCAGGTCTGCTTGGAGGGCTCAGAGATGCTCAAGGGGGAGAGGGGCCTGGTTTAAAAGGTGGGGGGGTTCTATCTGGTTCCCAAAATTAAAGGGCTATCTTGACTCCTGGGTGAGATGTGTTTTCCTAGAAGAGTCACTTTTCCACAAATACCTATAAAAGCAAGAACAGATACTTGTCAGCCTGCCCTAGTTCAATGGGAAGAACAAGTTACACACTTGTTTGCAAGTCAGTAGATATTACCAAGGGCACTTTGTTCCAAAGAGCAGCTTTGGGATTAAATGCACTTTGGTAGCATTCAGACAGGATCATCAAAGCCTTGCTCAATCATCAAGTACCTGGGGCTGGAAGTGACACAACCACCCCATTCTGGGAACTGCAGTGGGGAGGACTGTCTCCATGACTGCTCTCCATCATCTGCTGGGGCTCCAAGGAGCAGGACACACAGGCAATGCAGGGGCTTAGCCCTGCTCCTCCCCAGCCTCTGATCTCCAAATCACCCCCTCTCACTTTGGTTTCTTCTAGTTTTAAATGTCAGGCTCTGCTGTTCTTCAGAAGGTGCTAACACCTACAGCAAGGGCTGTATGTTGGAACTGGAAAAAGAGAGGGAAGGGTTTGTAGCAGGTATCCTTGCTCATTTATTAATTGAGTGCGTGAATGAAGCCACATTCATTAATCCAGGGAAGTGTTCTCCCCCTACTCATCGTGCTCAGGAACAAGAACAACATCTTCCCTGTAGAAATGCCTCCTGTTATGTGGGAAGAGGCAAGGCTAAATGGAGTTCAAAGGGCAACGGCAGGCAGGGATCAGCCTGTGAATAGATAAGTAGTAAACACAGAGCAAACACATCTTCTGGGGTGCCCGTGCCTTTAGGAAAAAGTGTCTGAGACCCAAAAAGAAGAGAAAGATGTTAGTGATGCAGCCTGACACTCCTGAATCGTCTTTATCCACACCAGATGGTTTGCAAGAGTCAAGCTCATAGTGGATCTCATGATGCTCTAAGAGTTACATGGGGCTAGATGGAGAAGGGGACAGCCAGGGACATGCACAGCCCATTTTGACAGAGCAACACGGCTCCTGTAACCAGTGGCTGCCGGGAACTTGGTGCAATCGAATGGAGGGAGGTAAAGAAAAAAGCAGCCCGGCAGTAAATAGGCTCAGCAAATTCAAACAGTGAGCGAGTTCCAGGAAACAGAGATAACCCTGTAGGCACAAAGATCCTGATCCAAAGCCCATGGAAGCCAGCAGGAAAGAAAACCGTGTTAGCTTTTAGCAGGCTTTGGATGAAGCCCAGGGAAAGGCAAGTAAGTGACCCAGTCCCAATGAGTCTGTGATTAAATAGCCACCCCAATCTCACACACCTTCCCTGGCAGCTCCTCCCCTGCAGGTTGGCCCCAGTCTGGGAGTTTGCACTGGGGGTTCCCTGTACATACATACATACTGACCTATACATACGTGTACATACTGACTGCTGCTGGGTCCTGCTCTCCTGGCTGCTCTCTGCTCCCTACAGCTTTGTCACGAGACCGAGCATTTGGTGTTCCTCCTCGAGCCTCCTGCAGTAAGAAGGGTACTTGAAGATTCTAAAAGGCAGCAAACAAACACCTCAGCTATGGCTCACTGGTACGGACAGCACAGGTTGTGCTGCGCTTTCCTTCCGCAGGCTTCGAACACAGAATCCAAAGAGAGAAAGTAAAATCTCTCTTTTAAAGAGGACAGCCTCAATTTTCCCAAGGGCTGAGCAGCCCAGGATCTCTCTCTGCTTTGGGGTGCAACACCCTGATTTAAGCAGGGCCCTTGTTTGGGCTGCTCAGCAGCCAGCAGAGCTGGGCTGAATGCTTTACATTTGTAATAAAAATGTGGAGGTTTAACTGCAATTGTCTGGATTAAAAAATGAGAGCAGTTGCACAGTGCCTGCTCCAGAGACCACTGACATCAACGGCAAATCACTGCTGCCCTTCTTCAGTGGGTTTTGAATCGGATCCGACAAATGCAGCCCAGCCCAGCCGCATCTGCAATACCGCAGTCAGAAAGGAGCTCAAGCATCCTAGAAATCCAAAAAGGCAGGGAATAAAAGGTGACGACTAGGAAAAGAAACGTGCTGCAGGTCAGCAGCTGTGTTAGAGCTTGAGGGGAGAGCACAGAGCGGGGAAGTCACTTGGAACCACAGCATGGAGTTAGAGGGACAATTGTCGCGTTAATACCAACATCATCCCACTCCAAGCCACTCAGTTTCTCCATGCTGACAAGTGTTACTGTCCCTGGGCTGTCGGGGCAAAGCTAAACAACTGTTTTCCAACAGAAAGAGCCTTGTCAAAGAAGAAGGTGTCTTGTAAGAGCGGTATGTTTGTAGGAGAAAATACAGAGATTTGATTTCGGAGGACTCCCTTCCCCCACTCAAATCCCTAACACTAAAATGAATTGGGTTGAAAATAAGGCTGTTGGGTTTGTGAATTACAATATTTATCAAAGAGAGGCTTTCACGGCGCAGGAAAGGAAATCGAGCTGAGACTTTGGAAAACTGTTCCTGGAAACAACTCCTTTTTTCTTAACGTGGTTTTAGTATGGTTTCTTAAGGCCATTAAAGCTTAAGCAAGAGCTGCATCTGCTCATCATTCCCCCTCTTGTAACATCTTAACCCACTGAAGCCTTTTAAATAGATCCAATAGAGGGTGAGAGCTTCTAAAGACAGGTCCAGTGATTTCACTGGGAAATGAGCTCTGGAGAAATGCTCCTACAAAGCCCTCCCTCTTCACTAGAGAGGCTGGACCATCAATAGGCATTAGAGAAGCCATGGCAAGGCACAGATCCACAGAGACCTGGCACCGCACTGGACTAGCACAACTATTTGGGATGGGTCTCTGTTGCAAGGGACAGGAGCCTGGATGGGTTTGATGGATTTTTGCCTGGGAGCAACTGGGAGGCAGCGGAGCTGCAAGGGCATCTGGCTTTGCCACCCACCAGACCCACAGACAGCATGTGGGCAAGGAAACAAATGAAGGCTGGATGACACAGCCTCCTTCAAGGCAGGGATGGTTTAGGTTTTCCATGCCTAGCATCAGCTCCCTGGAGGTCACATCCTCAGTGAATGAGGCAGGCAGGGGGTTGTGACCCTCATGCTTCCCACCCACATGCCAGCAACAGCATGCATCCAGATCCAGCACCAAGAACCAGCCCTGTTCAGGATTACAGCCAGTAATGTAATGCACCCACTGCTGTGGCATGACCTCTGAGACAGGGATGGACCATGCCCTGTGCTCTCCCTCCCGGAAGGGTTTGGGCTTAGGCCAGGT